ATTTAATAAATTTAAGCATTATAAACATGCACACATATATGGGTGGATTCAAATAAGAACAACTATCTCCTATAAAAAGTGATTGGTGATCTCAACCGTCCATCAAAAGATCTATAAAGTACTTAAATTTTATAATATAATTGGTCAGGATGGCCAAGTGGTCTAATGTGCCAAACTCATGTTCTGGTCCTCGTGAGAGGGTGTGGGTTCAAATCCCACTTCAGACATTAGTAATAATTTCTCTTCTCTAAGGTAAGTGTAATTAAAAAATTCTAAATTATCTAAAATATATAATAAAACCAAATGAACGAAAGATAGCAAATAAATACTCAAAATGATAACAATTTACTTTCTTTTTAAATGCTGTTACTTTTCCCCAAAATGATTTAGATAAAACTTTTATATATTGACAAAAAATGTTAGATCTTTTATTATATGTTTTTTTCATAATTTTAAATAAATCATATATTATAATCCATACCAAATTTTAAAATAATTACTCAAGTAACTATCTAGATATGACATAAAATATTAAACTATAATTTTCACCAACAATATAATCTGTCAAATATTTTTTTCTATTCATATTTTATAAAATTAATCAATAGAAAAATTAAACATTTACCATATATTTTAATTATATATTATTTTTACAATACTTACTCTCTACGTCGTGTATTTAATAAATTTAATCATTATAAACATGCACACATATATGGGTGGATTCAAATAAGAACAACTATCTCCTATAAAAAGTGATGGGTGATCTCAACCGTCCATCAAAATTCATTAATGATTGAGGATATTAGTACTAACTTACACACGGGTTAATTTAGTAATTACATCAAACTTCAAAATTTGCAATATTTATAAAACTAGATCTACAAAGCACTTAAATGTTATAACATGATTTGTCAGGATGTTCGAGTGGTCTAAGGCGCCAGACTCAAGTTTTGGTCCTTGTGAGAGGGCGTGGGTTCAAATCCCACTTTTGACATTAGTAATAATTTCTCTTCTCTAAGGTAAGTGTAATTAATAAATTCAAAATTATCTAAAATATATAATAAAATCAAATGAACGAAAGATAGCAAATAAATACACAAAATGATAACTATTGACTTTCATTTTAAATGGTGTTACTCAGATCTTTTATTATATGTTTTTTTCATAGTTTTAAATAAATTATATATTATAATCCATACCTAATTTTAAAATAATTACTCAAGTAACTATCTAGATATGACATAAAATATTAAACTATAATTTTCACCAATAATATAATCTGTCAAATATTTATTTCTATTCATATTTTATAAAATTAATCAATAGAAAAATTAAACATTTACCATATATTTTAATTATATATTATTTTAAAAATACTTAATATCTATGTCGTGTATTTAATAAATTTAAGCATTATAAACTCGCACACATATATGGTTGGATTCAAATAAGAACAACTATAATTACTTCAAACTTCAAAATTTGCAATATTTATAAAACTAGATCTACAAAGCACTTAAACTTTATAATATGATTTTTTAGGATGGTTGAGTGGTCTAAGGTGCCAGACTCCAGTTTTGGTCCTCGTGAGAGGGCGTGGGTTCAAATCCCACTTCTGACATTAGTAATAATTTCTCTTCTTTAAGGTAAGTGTAATTAAAAAATTCTAAATTATCTAAAATATATAATAAAACCAAATGAACGAAAGATAGCAAATAAATACTCAAAATGATAACTATTGACTTTCTTTTTAAATGGTGTTACTTTTTCCCAAAATGATTTAGGTAAAACTTTTATATATTTACAAAAAATGTCAGATCTTTTATTATATGTTTTTTTCATAATTTCAAATAAAACATATATTATAATCCATACCTAATTTTAAAATAATTACTCAAGTTACTATCTAGATATGACCTAAAATAATATACTATAATTTTCACCAACAATATAATCTGTCAAATATTTTGTTCTATTCATATTTTATAAAATTAATCAATAGAAAAATTAAACATTTACCATATATTTTAATTATATATTATTTTTGCAATACTTACTCTCTACGTCGTGTATTTAATAAATTTAAGCGTTATAAACATGCACACATATATGGGTGGATTCAAATAAGAACAACTATCTCCTATAAAAAGTGATGGGTGATCTCAACCGTCTATCAAAATTCATCAATGATTGAGGATTTTAGTACTAACTTACACACGGGTTAATTTTATAATTACCTCAAACTTCAAAATTTGCAATATTTATAAAACTAGATCTAGAAACCACTTAAATTTTATAAAATGATTTGTCAGGATGGCCGAGTGGTCTAAAGCGCTAGATTCAAGTTTTGGTCCTCGTGAGAGGGCGTGGGTTCAAATCCCAATTCTGACGTTAGTAATAATTTCTCTTCTCTATGGTAAGTGTAATTAAAAAATTAAAAATTATCTAAAATATATAATAAAACCAAATAAACAAAAGATAGCAAATAAATACTCAAAATGATAACTATTGACTTTCTTTTTAATTGGTGTTACTCAGATGTTTTATTATATGTTTTTTTCATAGATTTAAATAAATCATATATTATAATCCATACCTAATTTTAAAATAATTACTCAAGTAACTATCTAGATATGACATAAAATATTAAACTATAATTTTCACCAACAATATAATCTGTCAAATATTTTTTTCTATTCATATTTTATAAAATTAATCAATAGAAAAATTAGACACTTACCATATATTTTAATTATATATTATTTTTACAATACTTACTCTATACGTCGTGTATTTAATAAATTAAAGCATTATAAACATGCACACATATATGGGTGGATTCAAATAAGAACAACTATCTCCTATAAAAAGTGATGGGTGATCTCAACCGTCCATCAAAATTCATCAATGATTGAGGATATTAGTACTAACTTACACACGGGTTAATTTTATAATTACTTCAAACTTCAAAATTTGCAATATTTATAAAACTAGATCTACAAAGCACGTAAATTTAATAACATGTTTGTCAGGATGGCTGAGTGGTCTAAGGCGCCAGACTCAAGTTCTGGTCCTCATGAGAGGGTGTGGGTTCAAATCCCACTTTTGACATTAGTAATAATTTCTCTTCTCTAAGGTAAGTGTAATTAAAAAATTCAAAATTATCTAAAATATGTAATAAAACCAAATGAACGAAAGATAGCAAATAAATACTCAAAATGATAACTATTGACTTTCTTTTTAAATGGTGTTACTTTTTCCCAAAATGATTTAGATAAAACTTTTATATATTTACAAAAAATGTCAGATCTTTTATTATATGTTTTTTTCATAATTTCAAATAAATCATATTTTATAATCCATACCTAATTTTAAAATAATTACTCAAGTTACTATCTAGATATGACCTAAAATAATATACTATAATTTTCACCAACAATATAATCTGTCAAATATTTTTTTCTATTCATATTTTATAAAATTAATCAAAAGAAAAATTAAACATTTACCATATATTTTAATTATATATTATTTTTACAATACTTACTCTCTACGTCGTGTATTTAATAAATTTAAGCATTATAAACATGCACACATATATGAGTGGATTCAAATAAGAACAACTATCTCCTATAAAAAGTGATGGGTGATCTCAACCGTCCATCAAAATTCATCAATGATTGAGGATATTAGTACTAACTTACACACGGGTTAATTTTATAATTACTTCAAACTTCAAAATTTGCAATATTTATAAAACTAGATCTATAAAGCACTTAAATTTTATAACATGATTTGTCAGGATGGCCAAGTGGTCTAAGGCGCCAGACTCAAGTTCTGGTCCTCATGAGAGGGCGTGGGTTCAAATCCCACTTCTGACATTAGTAATAATTTCTCTTCACTAAGGTAAGTGTAATTAAAAAATTCAAAATTATCTAAAATATATAATAAAACAAAATGAACGAAAGATAGCAAATAAATACTCAAAATGATAACAATTGACTTTCTTTTTAAATGGTGTTACTTTTTCCCAAAATGATTTAGATAAAACTTTTATATATTTAAAAAAAATGTCAGATCTTTTATTATATGTTTTTTTCATAATTTCAAATAAATCATATATTATAATCCATACCTAATTTTAAAATAATTACTCAAGTTACTATCTAGATATGACCTAAAATAATATACCATAATTTTCACCAACAATATAATCTGTCAAATATTTTTTTTCTATTCATATTTTATAAAATTAATCAGTAGAAAAATTAAACATTTACCATATATTTTAATTATATATTATTTTTGCAATACTTACTCTCTACGTCGTGTATTTAATAAATTTAAGCATTATAAACATGCACACATAATTACTCTTCTCTATGGTAAGTGTAATTAAAAAATTAAAAATTATCTAAAATATATAATAAAACCAAATGAACGACAGATAGCAAATAAATACTCAAAATGATAACTATTGACTTTCATTTTAAATGGTGTTACTCAGATCATTTATTATATGCTTTTTTCATAGTTTTAAATAAATCATATATTATAATCCATACCTAATTTTAAAATAATTACTCAAGTAACTATCTAGATATAACATAAAATATTAAACTATAATTTTCACCAACAATATAATCTGTCAAATATTTTTTTCTATTCATATTTTATAAAATTAATCAATAGAAAAGTTAATCATTTACCATATATTTTAATTATATATTATTTTTACAATACTTACTCTATACGTCGTGTATTTAATAAATTTAAGCATTATAAACATGCACACATATATGAGTGGATTCAAATAAGAACAACTATCTCCTATAAAAAGTGATGGGTGATCTCAACCGTCCATCAAAATTCATAAATGATTGAGGATATTAGTACTAACTTACACACGGGTTAATTTTATAATTACTTCAAACTTCAAAATTTGCAATATTTATAAAACTAGATCTACAAAGCACTTAAATTTTATAACATGATTTGTCAGGATGGCCAAGTGGTCTAAAGTGCCAGACTCAAGTTTTGGTCCTCATGAGATGGCGTGGGTTCAAATCCCACTTTTGACATTAGTAATAATTTCTCTTCACTAAGGTAAGTGTAATTAAAAAATTCAAAATTATCTAAAATATATAATAAAACCAAATGAACGACAGATAGCAAATAAATACTCAAAATGATAACTATTGACTTTCATTTTAAATGGTGTTACTCAGATCATTTATTATATGTTTTTTTCATAGTTTTAAATAAATCATATATTATAATCCATACCTAATTTTAAAATAATTACTCAAGTAACTATCTAGATATGACATAAAATATTAAACTATAATTTTCACCAACAATATAATCTGTCAAATATTTTTTTCTATTCATATTTTATAAAATTAATCAATAGAAAAATTAAACATTTACCATATATTTTAATTATATATTATTTTAACAATACTTAATATCTATGTCGTGTATTTAATAAATTTAAGCAATATAAACTCGCACACATATATGGTTGGATTCAAATAAGAACAACTATCTCATGTAAAAAGTTATGGTTGATGTCAACCGTCCATCAAAATTCATCAATGATTGAGGATTTTAGTACTAAAAAACACACGGGTTAATTTTATAATTACTTCAAACTTCAAAATTTGCAATATTTATAAAACTAGATCTACAAAGCACTTAAACTTTATAACATGATTTGTCAAGATGGTTGAGTGGTCTAAGGTGCTAGACTCAAGTTTTGGTCCTCGTGAGAAGGCGTGGGTTCAAATCCCACTTCTGACATTAGTAATAATTTCTCTTCTCTAAGGTAAGTGTAATTAAAAAATTCTAAATTATCTAAAATATATAATAAAACCAAATGAACGAAAGATAGCAAATAAATACTCAAAATGTTAACTAGACTTTTTTTTTAAATGGTGTTACTTTTCCCAAAAATGATTTAGATAAAACTTTTATATACTTACAAAAAATGTCAGATCTTTTATTATATGTTTTTTTCATAATTTTAAATAAATCATATATTATAATCCATACCTAATTTTATAATAATTACTCAAGTTACTATCTAGATATGACCTAAAATATTATACTATAATTTTCACCAACAGTATAATCTGTCAAATATTTTTTTCTATTCATATTTTATAAAATTAATCAATAGAAAAATTAAACATTTACCATATATTTTAATTATATATTATTTTAACAATACTTAATATCTATGTCGTGTATTTAATAAATTTAAGCATTATAAACTCGCACACATATATGGTTGGATTCAAATAAGAACAACTATCTCATGTAAAAAGTGATGGTTGATGTCAACCGTCCATCAAAATTTATCAATGATTGAGGATTTTAGTACTAAAAAACACACGGGTTAATTTTATAATTACTTCAAACTTCAAAATTTGCAATATTTATAGAACTAGATCTACAAAGCACTTAAACTTTATAACATGATTTGTCAGCATGGTTGAGTGGTCTAAGGTGCCAGACTCAAATTTTGGTCCTCCCACTTCTGACATTAGTAATAATTTCTCTTCTTTAAGGTAAGTGTAATTAAAAAATTCTAAATTATCTAAAATATATAATAAAACAAAATGAACGAAAGATAGCAAATAAATACTCAAAATGATAACAATTGACTTTCTTTTTAAATGGTGTTACTTTTTCCCAAAATGACTTAGATAAAACTTTTATATATTTACAAAAAATGTCAGATCTTTTATTATATGTTTTTTTCATAATTTCAAATAAATCATATATTATAATCCATACCTAATTTTAAAATAATTACTCAAGTTACTATCTAGATATGACCTAAAATAATATACTATAATTTTCACCAACAATATAATCTGTCAAATATTTTTTTCTATTCATATTTTATAAAATTAATCAATAGAAAAATTAAACATTTACCATATATTTTAATTATATATTATTTTTGCAATACTTACTCTCTACGTCGTGTATTTAATAAATTTAAGCATTATAAACATGCACACATAATTACTCTTCTCTATGGTAAGTGTAATTAAAAAATTAAAAATTATCTAAAATATATAATAAAACCAAATGAACGACAGATAGCAAATAAATACTCAAAATGATAACTATTGACTTTCATTTTAAATGGTGTTACTCAGATCATTTATTATATGTTTTTTTCATAGTTTTAAATAAATCATATATTATAATCCATACCTAATTTTAAAATAATTACTCAAGTAACTATCTAGATATGACATAAAATATTAAACTATAATTTTCACCAACAATATAATCTGTCAAATATTTTTTTCTATTCATATTTTATAAAATTAATCAATAGAAATATTAAACATTTACCATATATTTTAATTATATATTATTTTTACAATACTTACTCTATACGTCGTGTATTTAATAAATTTAAGCATTATAAACATGCACACATATATGAGTGGATTCAAATAAGAACAACTATCTCCTATAAAAAGTGATGGGTGATCTCAACCGTCCATCAAAATTCATCAATGATTGAGGATATTAGTACTAACTTACACACGGGTTAATTTTATAATTACTTCAAACTTCAAAATTTGCAATATTTATAAAACTAGATCTACAAAGCACTTAAATTTTATAACATGATTTGTCAGGATGGCCAAGTGGTCTAAAGTGCCAGACTCATGTTTTGGTCCTCATGAGATGGCGTGGGTTCAAATCCCACTTTTGACATTAGTAATAATTTCTCTTCACTAAGGTAAGTGTAATTAAAAAATTCAAAATTATCTAAAATATATAATAAAACCAAATGAACGACAGATAGCAAATAAATACTCAAAATGATAACTATTGACTTTCATTTTAAATGGTGTTACTCAGATCATTTATTATATGTTTTTTTCATAGTTTTAAATAAATCATATATTATAATCCATACCTAATTTTAAAATAATTACTCAAGTAACTATCTAGATATGACATAAAATATTAAACTATAATTTTCACCAACAATATAATCTGTCAAATATTTTTTTCTATTCATATTTTATAAAATTAATCAATAGAAAAATTAAACATTTACCATATATTTTAATTATATATTATTTTAACAATACTTAATATCTATGTCGTGTATTTAATAAATTTAAGCAATATAAACTCGCACACATATATGGTTGGATTCAAATAAGAACAACTATCTCATGTAAAAAGTTATGGTTGATGTCAACCGTCCATCAAAATTCATCAATGATTGAGGATTTTAGTACTAAAAAACACACGGGTTAATTTTATAATTACTTCAAACTTCAAAATTTGCAATATTTATAAAACTAGATCTACAAAGCACTTAAACTTTATAACATGATTTGTCAAGATGGTTGAGTGGTCTAAGGTGCCAGACTCAAGTTTTGGTCCTCGTGAGAAGGCGTGGGTTCAAATCCCACTTCTGACATTAGTAATAATTTCTCTTCTCTAAGGTAAGTGTAATTAAAAAATTCTAAATTATCTAAAATATATAATAAAACCAAATGAACGAAAGATAGCAAATAAATACTCAAAATGTTAACTAGACTTTTTTTTTAAATGGTGTTACTTTTCCCAAAAATGATTTAGATAAAACTTTTATATACTTACAAAAAATGTCAGATCTTTTATTATATGTTTTTTTCATAATTTTAAATAAATCATATATTATAATCCATACCTAATTTTATAATAATTACTCAAGTTACTATCTAGATATGACCTAAAATATTATACTATAATTTTCACCAACAGTATAATCTGTCAAATATTTTTTTCTATTCATATTTTATAAAATTAATCAATAGAAAAATTAAACATTTACCATATATTTTAATTATATATTATTTTAACAATACTTACTCTCTACGTCGTGTATTTAATAAATTTAAGCATTATAAACATGCACAAATATATGGGTGGATTGAAATAAGATCAACTATCTCCTATACAAAGTGATGGGTGATCTCAACCGTCCATCAAAATTCATAAATGATTGAGGATATTAGTACTAACTTACACACGGGTTAATTTTATAATTACTTCAAACTTCAAAATTTGCAATATTTATAGAACTAGATCTACAAAGCACTTAAATTTTATAACATGATTTGTCAGGATGGCCAAGTGGTCTAAAGTGCCAGACTCAAGTTTTGGTCCTCATGAGATGGCGTGGGTTCAAATCCCACTTTTGACATTAGTAATAATTTCTCTTCACTAAGGTAAGTGTAATTAAAAAATTCAAAATTATCTAAAATATATAATAAAACCAAATGAACGACAGATAGCAAATAAATACTCAAAATGATAACTATTGACTTTCATTTTAAATGGTGTTACTCAGATCATTTATTATATGTTTTTTTCATAGTTTTAAATAAATCATATATTATAATCCATACCTAATTTTAACATAATTACTCAAGTAACTATCTAGATATGACATAAAATATTAAACTATAATTTTCACCAACAATATAATCTGTCAAATATTTTTTTCTATTCATATTTTATAAAATTAATCAATAGAAAAATTAAACATTTACCATATATTTTAATTATATATTATTTTAACAATACTTAATATCTATGTCGTGTATTTAATAAATTTAAGCAATATAAACTCGCACACATATATGGTTGGATTCAAATAAGAACAACTATCTCATGTAAAAAGTTATGGTTGATGTCAACCGTCCATCAAAATTCATCAATGATTGAGGATTTTAGTACTAAAAAACACACGGGTTAATTTTATAATTACTTCAAACTTCAAAATTTGCAATATTTATAAAACTAGATCTACAAAGCACTAAAACTTTATAACATGATTTGTCAGGATGGTTGAGTGGTCTAAGGTGCTAGACTCAACTTTTGGTCCTCGTGAGAAGGCGTGGGTTCAAATCCCACTTTTGACATTAGTAATAATTTCTCTTCTCTAAGGTAAGTGTAATTAAAAAATTCTAAATTATCTAAAATATATAATAAAACCAAATGAACGAAAGATAGCAAATAAATACTCAAAATGATAACTACTGACTTT